TGTTTTTTTTTTTGCTTTTTTGCTTCTTTTCTTTTTTGTTCTTGATTGGATCTTCGCACTTGCCATTTGGTCCACCTTTTGGTGTCTCCTTTTGATTGATGTCTTCACTCATGTGAGCAGATTTCTTCCACCTTGCCCCCCAATGTGGAGGGTGATCCTTGGTTAGGGTTGAATCAGAAAAAATACTACAGGCTCAAAAGGGGACACAATGGATATATATTTTCTCCTGTTGTAAAGGGATAAAGAAAGAAAGTCGTTCATCATTTCATACATGGAAGTCCTCACAGAAGAGGTATCCCCAGGGGGATAGATTTTCAGGATTAATTTCATTCACATGAAAACAGTGTAGTTAATGCGTGATAGAATTATTTCGAATGAATTGTTTTTTTTGCTCATTGCTCCCAACATATCTCAATGTTCAGGCTCTCAGCGAGATGCCCCAAATTGTGTCTTAGAAGAATGCTCATGTTCAAATGAACAACTCAATGCCTTGGGTATTAAAATGTCAATTGTGAGTTTAAAAAGATAATGGTATGACTTTATTTGACTCAAAGAAAGGTATGGGTGTATCAAAAAGATAAAGACAATGTTCAAGAATTTCAAAGGGAATGTATGTCAAAATTTGGTCTTTTTGGTAATGATCAAGGTATTTTATTTTGGGGTTTGAGACATGATAAGAAAGGTCTAATCTTGTCATATGTCAAAAATCTATAATTCTTGAAGAGTTAAAAGAATCCTTAATTCATTTAATATTCGAAGAACTAAAGATTAAAATTTGTTCAATTGCTCCCCCTTAGAAAGTAGCATAAATTCAATCGTTTAAAAGATTAAGCAAACATGAAATATCAGTGACGTGTTCAAACAAAACAATCCTCTAAGTGCAAATAGTATACGCTATGCCCCCTTCTTCGGCTGTCAATGCCCCTGAATCCATCAGGTTTTGGATCTTGCGCTTCAGCGCCTTATAGTTCTCAGAGGAATGTTTGGAGCATCCTATGTGGCAACTACAAATAGCTTCAACATTGTAGCCCTTAGGATATGTGGACTTTTTTCTCAGATCATCTTGGCAGGTTTAGTCGTACAACCAGCTGATTGGGCTCATTCGTTGTGATAGTTTTTTTATGATGTTACAATCTTGCTTCCATGTGGTGTCATGTGGTTAAAACCACTTCATCGAATTCTCCATGAAGAGATTTCATGTTTATGAAAATACTTAAAAAATGAAATGTATATGCAAAATGCAAAAATGCATTAAATGTTCGAGGCATTGATCCAAAAACATGTATGTTATCGTAAATAACCTTTATTGGGACAAAAGTGTTTTATCTTTTAAGAGACAATAAACATATTTAAAGGTACATCCGGACTAAATCCTCTAGGCCCGGAACCGGTTGACTAGTCATTTGCCTTCGTCTTTCACCGGTTGAATAACCTGTCGAACCGCTCCGACCTCTCTGGATGAACCGTGAAAATGTTGAGTTTTTTTGTATTGGTTCCCAAAAAGTGTCGAATGACTTCATCTCTGGCTTTCATCCTTTGCTGAATCGGAAATTCCATTGAAATCCTTCATCAAAAGGATTGTTCGAAGTTCATTTGCTTGTTTCTTGAATTTATCGACAGTGACTTGCCATCTTGTTCTTGTTGTCTTTGAATGGACTCTCGAGGTCAGTAACCTTTTTCTCGTCTTGCCCCTGCCACCTTTGTCAACCCATTTTTGAAAAGTTAACTTTTGATGTACTTGATTGTGGGCACCATGAATGTGACACATAGTTGTCTTGCAAATTGTCCTCATTTTCTTTCTGAGACCTTTTCGGACCATAGCCGGACCCCTGCGTTCTTATCTCTTGTATTACAACCCCTTTGTCCATTAATGCAGATTATTCATGTTTTAACAAACAAGTTTTTTGGTGGATCAACACCTTTTTTAAATGATGCAAATAATGAAAACAAAATAAAAGAGAACAAAAGTAAAAAAGAGTTAGTGAGATAAATCAAAACAATAATAAAAACGAAAAATCCTACCCCCACATGATATCTACCCCGCATGCTTTAATTCCTACCCGGACATGATCTCTATCCCGCATGCTAATTTCACACAAATCCTAACCGCATATTTGTCTAGTTCGCATGCTTTGAACAGAAAGTAAAGCAGGAAATAATTCCGGCATCCTAGGGTTTGAAATGAGGTTTTGGGGTGGGCTCTAATTCTCCATCATCTCCCGGTTTAGGTTCTAAAAAACGGTACCCGAGTTCTCCTTGTTGGTGCCCCCTTGGGCTTACCAGACCCTTAGTCCTAAACCCATCACAGGCTTGTATGGACTAAGTTAAACTCGAGAGGAAACATTCCCTTATGCCCACACGGAGAATAAATTCACACGAAGGCATAAGGTATATGTATCCCGAAGGCTACTTGCTAGGCCCACACGGTGAATAAATTCACACGAAGGCGTCGCTTTCACCCCCACTTAAAAGGGTTCGGAGCTCGGGTATAGAGCCTTTGGATGAAAAAAGTTTGGAAAGCTGAAATCATTAGAAAACGGTCAGTCCAACTATTTACTCGAAAAAAAATATAACCAAAAGTAAGTAATAAGGATCGAAATGTTGCCTTAAAATTCAAACTTACCCTTTTCGTTAAAAAGACAACTGGAAATTACCTTAGCCTGACTCGCTTACATGCTTCCCCAGCAGAGTCGCCAAGCTGTCGCAACCGTCTTTCGGTTGGGCCCCGAAATTGGGATTCGACTTGAAAAATGTGGATTGGAGTCGCCACCGATCATTTATTTAAAGATAAATGGGTTGATCGGATACCCTATTTCTTACCTGATCTGCGTTTTAGCAGAAATATGTTGGGCTCGGGAGTCGGTTACGGTCAAGGAAGGATTAGCACCCTTGAACCGCCCTTTCGGTACTACGTAATTTCCAGTTGTCTTAATTAAGAAAAATAACAAGTTAAATTAAAAGATAAAATAATGATCCAAAATTACTTACCTTTGACGGATTTACAAATATACCCTTTAAAAGTCAAAATATGGGTTAGAAGAGATGAATAAATGATAAATAAAGTAAAACAAATAAAATAAGGAGATTAAGAAAGAAATAAAGTAAATATAAAATGAATAGAATATATAAAATAAAAAAACAATAACACTAATATATGCATAGCAAACAACTAAATAAAAATAAAATGATAATGCAAATAAATAAATAAAACAAGTAAAAGAATATAAAAACATAAAATATAGGATAAATATAAAAATAGATAAATAAATGAGTAAAATATATAAAAAAGTAAAAGCATATATATATAAGTAAAATAATAATAAAAAAAAAGAAAATCAAAAGTAATATACATATATATACATGCAAAATAGGAAATATATAAATATATATATATAATAACACTAATAAAAAAAACATATATACATATAGAATAAAATTAATAGGAAACATATATACATACAAGAATAATAAAGTAGGAAAAAAATGATTTAGGGGGGAGAATTAAATATTTTAAAAAATGAACACGCCTCGGGGGTGGATCTAGGTTCGAAACTTCGAAATCCCACCCCTTTTTAGTCATCGGCGCAACCCACGTTTTGGGTTATTCGAACCAAATCTCAAGAAAAATAACGTGCACATGCGAGAAATGAACGAACCAATGTAAAAAAAGATGCTACCTTTTATTTTCTTTTCGAATCGTTTACAACAACTTTGCCTTTGTATTTTCCGTGCTTTCCTCTGTGTTTTGTGTGTAAAAATCGTGTCTTACAATGGTGAGTTACAATGGCTATTTATAGTGCTTGTGGATCCTATCTTTAGGAATTTAAATAATAGTATAACTCTATCCTATTTTTAGGAGTTTGAATCCTAGCAAAATTTTATCCTATTTTTAGGAGTTTGAATCCTAAAATTCTATCATATTTTTAGGAGTTTGAATCCTAGTAGGACGAAAAATGTGTGTTGACACATACTCTCTTTTTTTTTCGTGTAAACTATATGTATGACCATCTAACTATTGTTACTTTTTATTTTGATCATTATTTTTAAAATTTTATCAATCAAACCATTTAATAAATTTATATTCCGTGGCAATAATATTTAATTATTTTAATAAAAATTAAGAATATTTAAAAAAATTATATTTTATTTTTAAATATTAGAAAATAAATAAATAAGAAAATATTCTTCATTACATGTGCCCCATTTAATTGGGGATTAAATTTATTTAATTAAATTAAAAATACGACTAAATTGACGTAATATATTAATATTAAAGACTAAATATGTAATTATACTAATTTTTAAACTGCCACATCACTCCTTATTGAAATGTTAAAAACAAGTGACTCGATTGACATACTTAAAAAGTTAAGTGGATTGATGGACAGAAATTTAAAAATTATGGTCAAAATAAAAATAAACATTAATTAGGTGGTTATACATATAGTTTACCCTTTTTTTCGTTTGTAATCTTTACGGGATTTCAGCATCACAAAAACGGCGAAATGATCACATGAGATAATCTTAATATAGAGCTACAAAAGATGCTATTGATTTTATTATTATTTAAATAATAAAATAAGTAAAAAATTATCGAAAACATTATTATTTCTACTGATTTTTTTATTATCGGACGATTTTTACTGATTTTGTTATTATTAAGCATTTTACTGATTTTATTAACAAAACTAGTAAAACGTCACAAGTTTTCTTATTTTTTCTATCGATTTTATTATTGTTGGATATTTTATCAAAAATGTTAAAAATATTGATGCTTTAGATAAAAATAATAATATTTTAAATAATTTTTTTACCGATTTTATTATTTAAATAATAACAAAATAAATAACAATTTTTTTAAGAAATTCCACAAAACTTGAAAGAAAGAAAGAAAAAATATGTACAAAATATTAAGTGAACGCTAATACAGGTTGTCTTGTCCTAAACCTGTTCCATTTGTGTGTGTGTGTCATTTGCCAAAATGTTTTTGTTTCTCTTCATTTACATTTATATTGTCCATGCATCTTGTATTAGCTATTTCAGTTACGGCAGAGAAATCTCAAAAAAGATCAAAAAAATATTTTGATTCTTTTCATGTGGGTCCGGAGACCCACCCTCTAAAATAAATTCCACCCACACCGGCGATCCAAGCCACCGCCACACCCAGCTGTCCACCATTATAAACACCACATCCACGTTGCCATATTTACCTCCATAGCAGGCCACTCATCCGACGGGTTTTCTTCCTACTGGCTCGAAACCCTTGACTTTCTGTACGATCTGTCTAGCTTTTTATAAAGTGAAACTAAAATCTGCCACGTGGCATCCCCTTCTTCCATGAGATCATTGAACAGTAGGGTATGCTTGATTGCCGGGTCCCATAAGTTCCTCTGGATGGCAGACAAATTAGTCGCCGCGACGTGTTCTAGGATCTTCCCCAGCTTCCCCACGTCCCTTTCCCCCACCGTGAGGGAAATCTCAGCCCACTTCACGGCGGAGGGAAACGGCAACCTGATACCGTCCGCTATTATCACCGGGACGCAGCCCAAAGCCACAGACTCAACAAGCCTTGGACTCCAGGGGGCCCATCCAAGTGGACACAAACAAAAGACTGACCGTACAATTTCTGACTGGTAACCGGTAAATCTGTGCCTTTGCAAGTAAAACCTCTTATCTCCTTTATACCTTCGCCATATTTCCGTCCTCACCCTCCTAAAAGCAAAAGAAAATAACATAAATAAACACGCAATTTTAACATGCAATGGAACTTTGATCTTGGAACTTACTTGCTATAAAATTTTCCGCTAAAGTTTTTAGGGTGGACTTCCATTTTACCCCTGAAAAAAACCATGATGTCTCGATTGCCGGTCAACGGTGCCTTTTCCAGCGTCTTCCTTACACTTTCCGGCGTGATATAAGGCGGTATAAGAATATGTTCAACCTCCTGACAAGGGTGCTTATAATTAACCCCGAATGTTTGCAATATTATCGAGTTTTTCAAAAACTCTGGAATCCCACTATCAATAGCTCTCTCCTCCTACAAAAAGAAATCAAAATTTAACGATACTACTAAAGACTTATTTTGAGAAACTAATTTTGCTTACCATGGCATGGAAGCAGGCTCCATAATCATGGGAAGCAACAAAGACGTGGTCGGAACCTCGGGAGCGATTCCAGAAAGGATAGTTTGTGGAGATAAGTTGGATAGCCGAGAATAAAAGAGATGGAGCGTTGCCAATGTCAGGGAAGCCATTAACGGTACTGAAGTTGCAGGAGACATAAACAGGGACGAAAAAGAAATCAGCTTCATTAGGGTCGAATGTTCTAAAGTCGTAGGCGTTCAACAAGGCTCTATGAATGGCCACCTCCGAGGCAAACAAGTGGTTGCTGCATCTCTTGTTGGAAACCCAGTTTTCATTGTATTCTGGTGATAACCCGTAGATATATATCTTCAAGTCTTTGAAAGTCGCTGCCAGAGAAAAAAAAAATAAACCATTAATAACATTGATTTTCAAAAGAAAAAATAAATTTAAAAGCATGGTGAAATAGAAAGGGATGAAAACCTGGGTTTTTGAGTTTGGATTGTTGACTGGTTTTGTTGACAGGTTCAAACAGGACATGAGAAGCTAAGGAGAATTTGGAACCAAAGACGGGGGTTTTTGACAAAGGTATTGGCTTGTTAGTAACAAAGAAAGAGGTGAGAAGATAGAGGGTAAAAGAAAACCAAAGAAGCCATTGGTAATATTTGAAAAAGAGGTTTTTTTCAGGTTGTCTGCCTTTGTGTAGTATCCTCATCTTAACATAGAATCCTCTGTTTTTCTTGGTGGGTTTTTGCAATTCTGAAGCCACCATCTCGTTTTAAATGATAAAAACAACGATAAACATAAGAGATTTTAGCGGAGAAAGGTCGAAAACCAAAGCAGTTGAGATGGCGTTCTGGGTTTCTGGTATTGATAATGAATTGGAAACTAAGATTTACTGATTAAAAGATAGATGGATTTTGGTTGGTTCATACTTCGTTTTCGCACCCAGAAGTTATTGAACAAATTTTGTTGCTTATCATAACAAATAAATAACCAAATCATTGAAAAAAATATTAGAGTTGGTTAAACTGGAGCCTTAACAAAAACAGAGGGAGGGGGAGGGAGGAAGAGAGAGATCACTCGCATGGTGGTTTAGAAGAATTGAACTCGTTCTTGGTCTCTGTTTCTATGCACTATGTTTGGTTCCCCGAGATTTTGCTTGTGTTTAATGACATGAATGACCTTGGGGAACTAATATGGAGGTAACATCTTAGGCAAGTTTTTTGGTAAAATAGAGAGAGAGTCTCGTTTAGTTGTTTAAACATTTTTCGATTAACATAGTTATATAACTATATGAAGTTATTACTTGAAGTGTTTAGATTATGATACACGTTAAAAAAAATATGTTAAGCGACGAATATTATATTTTATATTAAATTTAAAAATTATATTTAAAAAATTAAAAATATTATTATATTAAAAAAACTCTAATCTTTAAAAGTTTATAATCCTGGTCTTGTTATCTCCCTTACTTGTCACAGTCATTGCCATCGCCACCGGTATGCCTTTGCCATCTTTCTTATCGGTCGTTGTCGTTTTGTCATCGTTTTTATGGCCAGGATCATCGTATCACGTTGGTGTCGTGATTTTTCCTTTCGCCATAAATGATTTAAATCATCGGGTGGGGTTCATTAGGTGGTTGTTCGTCCAGTGACGGTTTGATCGAAGACAATTGCGATGGTTGGCGCAAATATAAGGATTGAAATTAGATTTTCAAAGTTTTTAATTTTCTTTTTATATTTGAGAAAATTTTGGTTCTGTAGACACAATATTTGCGTCCCATGTAATGCACCTTTATAATATATAATGTATTAAACATATTATATACTATATTAATTATTTTATTACACATTACAGGCCAACAAATCAAGCCCAAACACAAATGAAATACACGTGGCCAAGAAGAATTAGCCCAACAAGAAACTCTAGCTCGCCCCACTCTTGCTTCTAGCCGCCAGCAACAGTGATTGTTGGATCTAGATGAGATCCAATGGTCCACAGCAAATGATATATAGGGTTTGTTTGGAAACCCTAGTTGCTTCAGCATCATCCCAGCGCCGCAAGCCTTCACCCGCGCCTCCGATTCCCACGGCTACATGCCCCAACGTCGAACCTTCCGGCGCAAAGATCTCGCACAATCAACAAGCAAATATTAGAGTCCTATTAGGACTCAAATAGCTCTAAAAATAGCCGAATCCAAGGCTATAAAATGATGTAATTTTCAACGTTTGTAACAGAGGATTTCATACGAAATACAAGCAAACTTTTGCAATTATTTTACACAAATCTTTGAGCAGTGCATTCAGCAATCACAAAATGTCCACAAAATACGAGCAGTGATATTTGAAGCATTTTCTGCGATTATTAGAGAAGAAGCATAAGGTAAAAAGGCTCACCTTTCATTATTTCGGTGTGCATATTATCTCTTGGATGTAAAACGCTAAAAGTCGATGACCGGAATAGGGGGTAGTTGAAATTTTCTTTTTAGATCTACGCCCCTACGAAGCTTATTTTAAAAATCTATGGCGTTTTTCGTGATGAGAGTGTTATGGGCTTTCAGAAAAATCAATTTTTTTTAAAGATTTGCCGGCCGGCGAGGTGGCGCCACCCCCGAAATCTGGAAACCAAGGCTCTCGTTCTTCATTGTGAAGAACAGTTGAGAGCATAATATGAATAGGAGGCTTTTTGGCGAGAGAACAGAGAAAATGAGTTTTTTAGAAAAAATTTTGGTTTAAATAATTGGCCCATCAGACCGCCTGACCCGATCCATACCCGCAACTGGACCCGCGTGTTTTTAAAACAAAGTTGGGTAATCGTTGTTTAGTCCCCCGTTTTTTAAACCCTTTAATTTTAGCCCCAAATCAATTTTAATTTCCCCGATTGCTTCCGAATTTGGCCCCAATTTCGACTTTTCTTTCATATTAGTCCTTCATTTATTATGTAAATATTTTTATGCTATATATATATATTAGTTTACATATATATGTATTTTTAATATTTTATTTATAAATTTATTATTATTATACGTATATTATGATTATCTTTGTTTGATTTTTTTTCTATTATACTTTGTCATTATATATATATGCATGCTATAAACATTTCATTTATACGTCTATTATTATATATATTAATTGTTATTTTCTGATTTTATTTTTTATTACTTTATATTATAAATGTTTATATTTATTTATTTATTTTTACATAATATTTTATATTTCTATTATTTTTCCTATCGTTTTTACCTATTATATTAATTATGATAACTTATTATATATGTATGTATATATTCTTTATATTTTTATATATATTATTATCTTTTACTTTTGTGCACGTTTCATTTCCATTTTGTCTTTGTTTTTACTATTGTTTTATTTTTGTTTTTTTCTTTATGTTTTTGTATTTTCCCTATTTTTTATTTTATTTTCTGTTTATTTATTTTGTCATTGTATTCGTTTTCCTTATGCTATTTATTTTATCATCATTTTCATCTTTTTTTTTTGTTTATTAGAATTTTATATCTCAACCCAATTCGACTTCTCATTCCAAATTTGACATTTAAGTCTTTTTAAGGATTATCGTTCAGCCAATCAGAGGTAAGTAATTCGGATCAACTTTTACCTTTTAATTTAAAATTATGATTTTCTTAATTAAAGACAACTGAAAATTACGTAGTACCGAAAGGGCAATTCAAGGGTGCTAACCCTTCCTTGACTGTAACCGACTCCCGAATCCGACATATCACTGGGAAGACGCATATCATGTAAGAAATAAAGTATCCGATCAACCCATTTATTTTTAGATAAATGATCGGTGGCAACTCCTAACCCATTTTCTTAAGTCGAAGCCCAATCTCAGGCCCAACTGAAAGACGATTTCGACAGCTTGGCGACTCCGCTGGGACACAGGTAAGTGAGTCAGGCTAAGGTAATTTCCAGTTGTCTTTTTAACGAAAAGGGTAAGTTTAAATTTTAAGGTAACATTTCGATCCTTATTGCTTACTTTTGATTATATTTTCAAGTAAATAGTTGTACTAATAGTGTTCTAATGATTTCAGCCTTCAAAGCTTGTTTTTCACTTAAGGCTCTAAACCCGAGCTCCAAACCTGTTTTTAAGTGGGGGTGAAAGCGACGCCTTCGTATGAATTTATTCATTGTATGGGCCTAGCAAGTAACCTTCGGGATTCATATACCTTATGCCTTTGTGTGAATTTATTCTTAGTATGGGCATAAGGGAATGTGTCCTCTCGAGTTTAACGTAGTCCACACAAGCTTATAATAGGCTTAGAACTAAGGGTCTGGTAAGCCCAAGGGGGCACCGGCAAAGAGAACTCGGGTACCGTTTTTTTAGAACCTAAACCGGGAGACTATGAAGAAATAGAGCCTACCCCAAAACCACATTCCAAAACCTAGGATCTTTTTACCCTAACCATATTTTTTGTCTTTTTTTTCCTTTCGTCATTATTTATTTATTTATTTTTATTTTACTAACTTTTTTCCTTTGTGTTTGTTTTTTAGCATTTGCATCATATCAAGAGGCTATTGATCCCTAAAAGGTGTTTGTTACACACAAAATAATCTGAACTAATGGACAAAGGTATTGTAATACAAGAGATTAAAAACCCCGAGGTACGACTATGGTCCGAGAAGACTCGAAAGGAAAAGGGAGACAATCTTCAAGGAATCTATGTGTCAGAACTGATTAGCTATGCCTCTATCAGCCTAAAATAGAACAATGTGAAAGGGCTTTGAGACATCTGGGACAGTTGGAAGAATGATCGGAAACAGAAGTTCAGCCAACGATACGGTGACATTACACTTTTGCTTCATGTTAAGACTGATGAGCCCTTAATCAGAGCCTTGGTTCAATTATGGAACCCGGGGTACAGTTGCTTCACTTTTAACCGGGAGGACATGGTGCCCACTATTGAGGAGTACACTACACTATTGCACTATGAAAACATCAAATTGGAGCAAGCCTACATTAAACACATTAAAAGTCGGCCTTTCAAGAATGCATTGGCTAAAGTTGCAGGCGTAGATGAGAAATGGGTAATTGACCGAACTCAGCGTAGAGGCAACGGGAAGGAATTGAATGAATCCATATAAAGCAACTAATGAAGAATCACCCTGATGAATGGAAGACTATAGACTTGTTTATACTCGGTCTATACGGTTTGATTATCTTTTCGAAGACTTTGGGATGCATTGACACAGCCGTGGTGGAGCTGTTTGAACAACTTCCGAAATGAGTCAACCCATCACCGACCATCTTAGCTGAGACCTTTCGATCTCTAAACCATTATCAAAGAACTGGCGGAGGAAGGTTTATTGGGTGTGTTCAGCTCCTTCAAGTCTGGATTCATAACCACTTCTGGAAGACTAACGGGGTTACCTACCATCGATTTAGCACCACCTATTCACCTTTGGGAGAGTTCATCACAATGAAATGGCATGAAGGTACTTCAAAGGAAAAGTGGATGAAAGTCTTTACACATCTTCAGGATCGGGATATTACTTGGAGAGCCCCCTGGTTGTTCCTTGGTGACGTTCTTTTTCGGTGTGGGGATTCTGATACTATGACCTTACTTGGGCTTTGGGGTGCAGTTGGGTATGCTTTGTTGTTAGCACTTAGACATTATGGGGCACTTCAGTTTGTCTCAGCAATAAGCGGACTAGCTAGATCAGAGTTTGTGTATCACGGTGACATCTATAAGAATATGATCAAGGAAGCATCCGATTCATGGAAGAAAGTATTCTTGATGGATGTTGTAGCTGCTAGAGACATGCTTACTCCGGATTATG